TGTGTGTGCACGTGCGTTTGTGTGTGTGCATGTGTTTTTATGTGTGTGCACGTGTGTTTGTGTGTGTGCACGTGTTTTTGTGTGTGTACACGTGCGTTTGTGTGTGTGCACGTGTGTTTGTGTGTGTGCACATGCGTTTGTGTGTGTGCACGTGCGTTTGTGTGTGTGTACGTGCGTTTGTGTGTGTGCACGTGTGTTTGTGTGTATGTGTTTCCCTGTGTGCGCACATATACGTGTTTGTGTCTGCATTCACGTGAGCATGTGTGCATTTGTGTGTGCATGCAAATATGTTTGCGGGTGCATGTGTGAGAGAGAGAGAGCACGTGTGTTGGCTATGCAGTCCTAAATCTGTCCCATTTCATGCCACAGTAAAGGTTCAGAGACCGCAGTGAAGATATGCATCAGTCCTTTGGGGGCACGTTTAAGTTTGGAATTCAACGTGAGCAGACCCAAAGCTCTGTTTTGGCCTTCAGGCCAGTAATGCCCAGTAGCCCCAATGTATCCTAAAGCAGGCGCTCCCTGTTACCCAGTGAATACCTGATTGCCTGCGGCCTTCTTCTTACTCAATTGACTGCTCCTCGGTTGGGCACTGTGAAACAAACAGAGAAATATTTTAATAAAGAGATCTTCATGAGTGCAAGAATTAAAAAGAATATCTGTTGAACATTCACACCATCTGCTGAGCGATGTGGAAGTCATGGCAATAAACGCAGGTAATCAGTGAAACAGAAATATCATCAATTCACCACAATCCCCGACAGATAAAATGCCCCCTCTCCTGAAACAGCTGAGTCATGGTGAGCTCAGTTTCCTCATGAACCCCTCTGGAGAGTGGCAATTCCTTATGAATCATCCTTAATAGAGAGCTGCTGGTGAACTGGTTAACCACAGGGGCATCACAATTCAGTCCAAACATGCATCGCTTCAATCCTGACACCAGCACACATGTGTGAGTGTGCACACTTGAGCATGCACACAACAGGCAGGTAGCGAGGGCAGGAACAACAGGCTTGAGATGTGCATTCCCACACGTAAAAGCCATTGCTAGCAATCTGTGCGGTTTCAAGAGAAATGCGATGCCCTCATGGTTAACCAGCTCAGCGCCTCATTCATGAGAAATGGTCAATTACTACACAGTCCCATGAGTCTGCACAGACCGGCGATTGGCACTGCAGCCTGACCCCACCCCCTCCCCATCCCCCCACCCCGCCCCCACCCCGTCCCCCAGCCCCATGGTATTGCTGAGGATGGTGCACAAAGGGTGACACATTCCACCCATTTAACCAATGAAGAAGCCACATGTTGACCATTTGGCAAATGTGGAATTAACCACAGTTTAGAGAGGACAGTCTTCCTCACTCCATGGTTAGCACTTAGGCTGTGGATTAAATATTCACTTACTTGGCAAATCCAATGAAATCCTCATGGTTTGTGTTCATGTAAGACAACTCAATGTCTATCAACAGCATGACCTGAAAGGAAGAAAGCACAGTCACTGAGCCCAGCTCTACCAATGCAGCATGTGACATAATGTGACCACCACAGGCGTGCAAGATCTGCACTTGTGAATAAATGACAACAGGCCTTAGTGAACAATACTATGCCCAGAGGATTCTAAGACAGGGCAATGGGTTAGGTTCCAGGTTCCAGCTCCAGGTGATATCCCCACTGCCAGAGCTCCTTCCACACATGTTTGGGAACCACACTCGGATCAAGGCAGAATTCCCTTTATTCCGTAATCAGGAATGCTGGAACAAGAGATGAAGGACCGGGACAGGCAACTTCTCTTTGCCCGAACAGCCTTTTGAAACAAATTTGCCCAAAACAAAAAACTACCTTACTGCATTTCTAAATGAAACACTAAGCGATTTGATCACAGCCTCTGGTAGAATGTAGAATTTCCAGATATAATAGATTAAATAAATGTATTTGATATATTGTATTATAAACTTACAATTTTAAATTTATAATATTTAATATTTAAGTATTTACAATATTTAAATTTATAATAATACATAAATTACAGAGAACAAAAACAAATAATTAAAACAGACATAACTCTGAATTATCAGATTTTTTTATCTTGTTGTAAAACTATAAATTTGGCAGTAGTCATCTTCAAATCAAACCTTAACTTGAGAAACCTAGAATGGAGGTAACTTTTTCCAACTATTGATTCTCCTGCTTAATAAAAATGGTCTTACTTCTGGAAATAATTTATTATTTCTAATATAGTGAAGGCAATAATGTTCACCACCATTAAAATCCATTCTTTGTACATAAAGCATTACCTCTAGCCATTGTGTAGCAAAAACCACCCGAACAGGAATACTTACAGCAAGGTGACACTTCTCTAATAAAATGGTCATTTGAAAGTGTAAAGTGTGTTATAATGACATAACTATCCACCTGAACTATCTGGGACACCTTTAGTAGATTCACAGACACCAATCCTCCTTATTGTATTAGTCTAGGTCACTGTTACCAAGTGGGGAAGGCAAAGTCTTTGGCAGAAGTTATGCTCAATCTTGATATACAGCAACATTTATTACATAAAATAAAACAAAGAACCACTGGAAATCTGAAACAAAATGCTGGAAATCTGAAACAACATGCAGAAATTGCTGGAGAAACTCTGGCACCATCTATACAGAAAGAAAACAGAGTTAAACAGAACTAGTCCAAGAGTACAAAAACCAGGAGTCACAGATTCGAGTTAAGTGCCAGAAGGATTAGAGGTGTGAGGAAATACTTTTTTTTGTTGCAGAGGGTGGTGGGTGTCTGGAATTCGCTGCCTGAGTTGGTGGTAGAGCCAGAGACCCTAAACTCTTCCAAAATGTAACTGGATCTGCTCCTTAAATGCACGGTTATGGGCCATGTGCAGGCAGATGGGATTAGAAAGGGCACCTGGGTCAAAATGCACAAGATGGGCTAAATGCCCCCTTCTGTGCTGTATCACTTCTATGGTTCCATTCCAATATCGGTAGTCTTTTGCTTTTATTTGACTGATTAACTCTTCCCAGGAACAGTTCTTCAAAAAAAAAATTTTCTAATCAGAGACATTATTACACACCTCTGGGGCAGGTGGAACAGGAACCTGGACCTCTTGGCTCAGAGGTATGGATACTACCCCGTATCAAGACAGCCATCAGAACAGTCATTTATCATTTTTAAAAAATTATCTTTTACTCTTTCAATCAGTTCATTTTCGACTGATGAGTGGAGCATGTCATGTAGTGTCAGTTACCCATTCAGGTACTAACTGCCTTTATTTTATTCATTCACGGGAATGTGAGCATCACTGGCTAGGCCAGCATTTATTAGCCTATCCCTAATTGCCCAGAGGGCAGTTAAGAGTCAATCACATTGCTGTGGGTCTGGAGTCACGTGTGTGCCAGACTGGAAAAAGATGGCAGATTTCCCTTCCCTAAAGAGCATTAGTGACACAGATGAGTATTGGCGATGGTTGCTATTAATACACTTAATACAACATGATGATTAACTTTACATCCATGCGATTAAACAGAGGTCTTACTTTTGTGGGATTCCCTTTTTTGTCACGTTAATGTGATTCAACCAGGAAAAAAGTTTGGGAGCCACCGACACATCTCCACTGCAGCTGCCATCACCCAGACCAGAGCCCGCGTACCACAATGCACTATCCCCACGCGAAAGCCGCAGAAATTCCACAAGAACCTATAACACTGGGGGCTAAACCCAGAACTGGAGATTTTCCCTTGCATTCTGTAATGCAAGAAGTCCTCCTGTCGCCTGGAAACCTCTTTAAGATAGCAGCCAATCGGCTGAGGGTGGCGGCCATGTTGGCTCATCAGAATTTTCGGCCCTGAGCCACCTTCATCACATGATGTTGGTTGTTTTCTTCATCCCCCACTGAGCTCAACAACTCAGACACGAGGGTAACTTCTTAGAAGGTTCTGGCCCTCTGGTGAAAGAACCGGGAAGGGAAGATGAAGAGATTACATTTTTAACTGAACTGTAAGCAAGTGCTTTTGTGGACTGTTACCTGAAAAGGTGGAGGGGAAACAGAACTTTTCCGAAGAAATTTGTATAAATATCCTCAGAGGGGACAAAAATTATTTGCACCATATTTTTTAAGAAAGGCAAACTCTGAGGAAACATAGAAAATAGGGGCAGGAGTAGGCCATTTGGCCCTTCGAGCCTGCACCACCATTCAACACGATCATGGCTGATCATGCAATTTCAGTATCCCATCGCCACTTTCTCTCCATACCCGTTCATCCCTTTAGCCACAAGGGCCACGTCCAGCTCCCTCCTAAATATATCTAATGAACTGGCCCTGACAGCTTTCTGTGGGAGAGAATTCCACAGGTTCACAACTCTCTGAGTGAAGAAATTCTTCCTCATCTCAGTCCTGAGTGGCTTAGCCCTTATTCTTAGGCAGTGACCCATAGTTCTGGACTTCCCCAACATTGCGAACGTTCTTCCCACATCTAGCCTGTCCAGTCCTATCAGGATTTTATATGTTTCTATAACATCACCCCTCATTCTTCTAGATTCCAGCGAATACCAGCCCAGTTGATCCAGTGTCTCCTCATTTGTCAGTCCTACCATCCCGGGAATCAGTCTGGTGAACCTTTGCTGGACTCCCTCAATAGCAAGCATGTCTTTCCTCATACTAGGAGTCCAAAACTACACACAATACTCAAGGTGTGGCCTCACCAAGGCCCTGCATAACTGCAGCAAGACATTCCTTACTCCGATACACAAATCCTCTCGTTCTGAAGGCTAGCATGCCATGAGCTTTCCTCACTACCTGCTGTACCTGCATGCCAACCTTTAGTGACTGTTCCACCATGACACCCAGGTCTCTCATGGAGGTATGAGATTGTCAAAAGTGTCTATGCAACTAATGCAGCAAATATATAAATCAATTTTTTTTATACTTGTTAAAAGCTGCTTTGGTTTAAAAGTAATTTCCTTTTATTGTGAATTTGGATATAAACTATATGTATACAACTCTGATAATTTCAAAATAAAAATAACACAAATAAAGTAGGGACAACAGGAAAGGACAGAGCAATGGGCTAGTACAGCATAATGGGCTGAGTAGCCCCCGCTGGCATTGCCTCATGCCACAGTTCTATGATGTCAGTATATGTATACGCTTTCTGATCTTTTTCTCTCTCCTGAAATCATCAATTCGTCCAATACTCACAGAAATCCTGCAACAGCTGTTCAATGGCATCACATGCCACTATATTCAGAGATAGTAGGAACTGCCGATGCTGGAGAATCTGAGATAACAAGGTGTAGAGCTGGATGAACACAGCAGGCCAAGCAGCATCAGAGGAGCAGGAAAGCTGACATTTCGGTCTGGAGCTTTCTTCTTTTTCTGAAGAAGGGTCCAGACCCGAAACATCAGCTTTCCTGCTCCTCTGACGCTGCCTGGCCTGCTGTGATCAGCCAGCTCTATACCTTGTTATCTCACATGCTGCTATATTGATGTGTTGCATACTGAAACAATAACTTTGATGCGCACAGACTTGATGAGAAGTTTCTCAAAGTTGGAAGTGTATGAGAGCTCACCAACAGGAGATGTTTTGCCTGCAACCCAGTTGGAAATACTAAAAAAATTAAATGTACTTTTAAAATTCATTCACGAGGCATGGGTCATCACTGTCCAGGTTAGTATTCTTTGACTTCCAATACTATTTTGAGGGCAGTTAAGAGTTTGTGAGTCTAGAGTCACATGTGGGCCAGACCCGGTAAGGACAGCAGATTTCCCTCCCTGAAAGAAAGATATTAGCAAGCCAGATTTATTGATTTGATTTATTATTGTAACATGTACCTAGGTAGAGTGAAAAGTTTTGTTCTGCATGCATTACAGGCAGATCATACTACACAAAGATCATAGGGTCAAAAACAAAGTTGCTGGAAAAGCTCAGCAGGTCTGGCAGCATCTGTGAAGGAGAAAACAAGAGTTAACGTTTTGGGTCCGATGACCCTTCCTCAGACCCTTCCTTCACAGATGCTGCCAGACCTGCTGAGCTTTTCCAGCAACTTTGTTTTTGTTCCTGATTTACAGCATCCGCAGTTCTTTCGGTTTTTATGAAGATCATAGGGTGATTGAGCAGAGCGAGGAATACAGCATTAACGGCTGCAAAGAAGGTGCACCAGAAGCAAGATCAACTTTAGATTTGAAATTTGAGAGGTCCATTCAGAAGTCCAGTAACAGCAGGGAAGAAGCTGTTCTTGAATCTGTTGGCATGTGTGTTAAGTTTGTGTATCTCTTGCCTGATGGAAGAGGTTCGAAGAGATGACAATTATGACAATTAACAATGGTTACATGGTTACCATTAGGGCTGGCTCGTCATTCCAGATTTTATTGGGCTCAATGTTCACCATCTACCTGAATATAAGAGGAAGACGATCATGTTGCAACTATATTTAATGTTAGTTAGGTCACACCTCAAATACTGTGTGCAGTTCTGGTCACCACACTGTAGGAAGGATATGACTGCACTAGACAGGGTGCAGCAGAGATTCACCAGGATGTTCCTGGGCTCAGTTAGGAAGACAGACTAGAGAGGCTGGGGATGTTCCTTAGAGGAGAGAAGGATGAGGGGGGATCAGATTGAGTCTGCAAAGTTCTGAGGGACATGGATTGTGGACAGGAAAAAATGTTTCTTCTTTGGAGAGCAGTCACTCACGAGGGGACGTGGTTTAAGGTAAGGGGTAGGAGGCTTAGAGGGGAGTTGAAGAAAAAAACATTTCATCCAGAGGGTGGTGGGAATCTGGAACTCAGTACCTGAAAGAATGATCGAGACAGAAACTCTCAAGAAATATTTAGATGAGCACTTGAAACATCACAGCATTAAAGGCTATAGACCAAGTGTTGGAAAATGAGATGAGAACAGATAAATGTTTGATCATATACCATTATACATGCAGGTCCAAGCCCACTCCATTGTGCTGGGCCTTTACAAAACAAAAGTGAGCCAATCTGGCCATTCCTGATTCCATACCTGCTGTTTTGTTCTGCCCTCCCGATCTCGGATGTGAGTGGTTACGATTCGGTCCATTTCCTCTCGTAGGTGCGGATACTGGCCCAACTGTAAGAAAGAACCGGGCAGAGAAGTGGAAAACAGGCCCGATGCCATTCCCCCCCAGCAAGGTACAGCAGTTAAGCATCTAACACAGGAGCTCCCTGCAACACAGTACAGCAGCAAACTGACCAGGTCACCCAGTCAGATTCAGTTCAGTCTAGACTCTCATGACAGCGTTGGGATTACAGCAGATTGGGAGTTATACTCCAAACACCGACCTTATCAAATTCAATAGATTTTTGACTAAAATCAAATTGAGAAACCAAATACAGTTTGCTCCAGTTCAAAATTTCAGTACAACAAGGGCACTCTCAAAGCCAATTCTGTTGAGTCCCCACGGATTGACGCATGAAAATGTACAAGTTTCAGAAATTCTGCTCTCCCCATATCGCCAGTTTGCTGGAGTTCTGAGAAGTACAGAAATCGGTCGGTGCACAGTTACAATGCCACAAGGAGCTGGCAATGAGGTGTGTAGGTTGGCAGGTTTGTACCAGTTTGCCCCAATCTCGTCAGAACGGGGCCAGGGACACCTCCACGCTTGGACTGAAGGAGAGCTGCAGAGAGGGGTCTTCCCCCTACCCTCCTGTCTGACCACCCCTCTGGTTGCACGGGGGCAGGCTTGGGGAATAGAATCAACAGTCCACTTAAAATCTTCGCTGGAGAGCAGGGGATGAGTCAAGTGGAGCTTTGGACTATAGAAGATAATTTTAAAAAAACAAACTGCAGGTAGAAATTTGTTTGAACAGGATCTGAATATTCATACTCTGCTTTCTGAATGAGCCAGTAGCAACTCTGAGGACAGTATAACCATGAACGTTAGGCTTCAATTTGAACGAAAATTCAACTCCTTCACATATTAAGCAGCAATTGTATCAATTCTAATGCAGTACTGTAGAGCAATATGAACTCCAAGTGTTTTCCACTGGTTGCAATTCCGTTACAAATGCACAAACAGACACACAGAATATAAACATGCAAGCAGGCAGCCATGCAAGCTACAGAGAATAACACTTGGGGAATAAATAGAAGTGGAACAGGTTAGTAGACAAGATGGATAAATGACAACAAATAGGCAATTGAGATATGTTTTAAAAAGGCAATGTTGGCCTTACAAGAAATATCAACTTGGGCCTTGAGCAATAATTAAAATGTGCTTCCCAAACTTCCCCTCTTTTTGGAATTCAATGGGTTGAGTAAGGTTGCGGAATTAAATAGTTTCCCTCCTTTGCATCCACTGACCGTTCGAAAGAACCGGTGTGGAAGTGAGGTATGGGCAGGCAAGCAGTAAACCTGGGCTCCCCTACACTGCCCTAGGCTGGAAAATCACCGGCTTTCTCTTCGCACTGGCTCACATCTCTTATTAAACGCCAATTCGTCTTGTGTTTCCTACACCCCTCCTCACCACCCTTCCTTCAGAAGCAACAGCAGAGTTGGGAAGGAGAGTCAATAGGCCATCACGCACTCCCATTTAATTTTTAAAAAATCGTTCTGATTAGAGGTGCAACAAATGCTGGCCTTGCCCACGTCCTACAAAGGAATAAAACAAGATCAAATCGTCCAGAACATTTCATTCTCTGAGGGGAACTAAAATGAGGCAATCAGTCCCATCCTATTCACCTCAAAATCCACACTTGGCATTCTGACTCACCAATAACTATATCTAAACCATTGGGGGCTGTGTAGCTCAGTTGGCTAGACAGCTGGTTTAGGATATAGAAAGTAACACCAACAGCATAAGTTCAACATCTCAGACCCAGCTGAAGGACTTTTCTTCTCAATCTCTCCTCTCACCTGAGGTGGGGTGACCCTCAGGTTCAACCACCAGTCAGTCATCTCTCTCTCATGAGAGAGCAGTACTTTATTTTTATTCTAAAAAGTAGATACTGTCAATGAGGGACCAAACTGAGATAACAAGGTGTAGAGCTGGATGAACACAGCAGGCCAAGCAGCATCAGAGGAGCAGGAAGGCTGATGTTTCGGGCCTAGACCCTTCTTCAGAAAAAATGAGATCTTTTGTAATGGTGAGAGCGTTCCAGACTAGGTCTGATCAATAGTTTTAATTCAGGGAGATTATCCTCCTGTCCACAGCCCACGCACTCAATTCATACAAAGTGAAATGGAACTGTTCCACTTCCCTCTCTCACCAGTATGTACCTAATTATTAATAAAGCTGAGACTTGTGCCTTCAGGCAAAACATCAACATTTAGCAAACAATTATTGCAGTTCTAAAAATGCCGGATTAAGTTGAACGAGAAATTCACTGACCATACCTCACCTCCACACCAGTTCTTTCGAACGGTCAGTGGACCTCATCTATCAACCTCTTACTTACGCTTTAATGGCATCATTAGAATATTTGAAATCTTATGGGTTAACAACGTCAACGAAAAGAGAGTAGAATATCATGCAAAGATGTTAGGAAGTCATCTTGCCATACCTCCCATAATAACATGCAGCTTTCAATTCTATCATTAAGAATAAGGTTGCGTTAATATTTTCAACTGATCCCACAGTTAAGTGGATCGTTTTCCAAACTGGCAAGGAAATGTAAACATTTTTTTTAATCTGTAAGGAGTCTTGCTGTTACAGTAAAAGGTCATTATTTATGGCCACATTTTGCTGTAAATAGGAAGTAGCAGAAACACAAGGTAGGCTAACCAGTGTCTGAAAGAAGTTAGGGATAGTGTGTCTGTGCCTTCATTTAGCTCAGGTCCAGTTGGTCATGCTCTTGCTCCCCAACTGGACCAGAAGGTTATACAGAGTTCAAGACACAAAAAATCGAGACTGACACTCCAGCACAGGCTTGAGGGAGGGCTGCAATGTTTGAGGTGCCATCTTTCAGGGGAGATGTTAAATCGAGGCGCCTGTGCCCTGGATGGTAGACATAAAGGATCCCATGGCAGAGGAGCCCACCCCCAATACTCCACCAAATATTTTCTGCTCAAACAACGTCACCAAGAAACTAGACTAGGATCTGACCACTTTGGTCTATCAGAGATTGCAATCTACAAAATGGCTACCCCTCTTCCTTATAATATTGACCACACTTGCAAACACTTCACTGGGACATCACAAAAGGTACTTCTACAAATGCAAGTTCTTTCCTAGAGAACTGGCTTATCTAAAATTGCAATTTTTCCTGGGATGTGGGCTAACATTTGTTGCCCATCCCTAATTGCCCTTGAACTGCGTGTCTTGGTGGGTCAGTTAGGGGGTAGTAACCACATTACTGTGAACTTGCAGTCACATGCAGGCCAGACCTAATAGGGATGAGTGATCTCCTTCCCTAAAAGACAGGTTTTTAATTGTAGTGATTGGAAAGAGGTCAGCCAGGTGGACCTCATTGGAATATGGGTTCCCTGACTGGGGCTGTTAACCTGGTCCAGTCAGGGAGTCCTGGCTGACAAATATAAACAGGAGTGTCATGGGTTCTGTTCAGTCTGGCGGCCAGCTCTGATATAGCTGGGTAAGTGTTGTGCACTGTGCACTGTGCGCTGGTGACAAGGGAAGAGCATGCTCCTGAAGAAATTCACTCACAACAGTCATCTTTAAGCTGGGGTCAGCATTTCTGGCATCATGCCATTATTTGGGAAGCCTGACTCATTCAATCCTGCTGTCAAAGACTGGGCCCAGTATGTGGAAAGAATGTTTTTTCTTCTTCTGAGCAAATGACATTGGGGCAGATGAAAAGCAACGAGCAATTCTCCTGCCAGATTGTGAACACACAGCTTTTGTGGTTATTAGGAACCTAATTTTCCCTGAGGCAGCAGATATGAAAACCTGTCAAGAGCTGACGGATTTATAGAGCCACCAAGTCAGACAGCTGTACAGCATAGGTACAGACCCTTCGGTCCAACCTGTCCATGTCAACCAGATATCCTAAATAAATCTAATCCCATCAGCCTCCACCACTTCCTCTGGCAGCTTATTCCATACACATACCACCCTCTGCATGAAAAAGCTGTCCCTTAGGTCCCTTTTAAATCTTTTCCCTCTCACCTTAAACCTGTGCCCTCTAGTTTTGGACTCCCCTACCCTAGGGAAAAGACCTTGTCTATTCATCCTATCCATGTTCCTCATGATTTTATAAACCTCTATAAGATCACCCTTCAGCCTCTGACGCTCCAGGGAAAATAGCCCCAGTCTATTCAGCCTCTCCCTATAGCTCAAATCCTCCAACCCTGGTGACATCCTTGTAAATCTTTTCTGAACCCTTTCAAGTTTCATAACATCCTTCCTATAGCAGGGAGACCAGAACTGCACGCAGTATTCCAATAGTGGCCGAACCAATGTCCTGTACAGCTGCAACAAGACCTCCCAACTCCTATACTCAATGCACTGACCAATAACGGCGAGTGTACCAAACACCTTCCTCACTATCCTATCTACCTGCGACTCCACTTTCAAGGAACTATGAATCTGCATTCCAAGATCTCTTTGTTCAGCAACACTTCCCAGGACTTATCGTTAAGTATATAAGCCCTGCCCTGATTTGCCTTTCCAAAATGCAGCACCTCACAATAATTTAAAGTAAACTCCAGCTGCCACTCCTTGGCCCATTAGCCCATCTGTCCACTACACCTCCAATTTTGGTGTCATCTGCAAACTTACTAACCATACCTCCTACGTTCACATCCAAATCATTTATATCAATGACAAAAAGCAGTGGACCCAGCACCGATCTTTGTGACACGCCGTTGGTCACAGGCCTCCAGTCTACAAAGCAACCTTCCACCACCACCCTCTGTCTTCTATCTTCGAACCAGGTCTGTATCCAAATAGCTAGTTCTTCCTCTATTCGGTGTGATCTAACCTTGTTAACCAGCCTACCATGAGGAACCTTGCTCAACGCCTTACTGAAGCCTATACAGATCACATTCACTGTTCTGCAATCCTCATTAATCCTCTTTGTTACTTCTTCAAAAAAGCTCAATCAAGTTCATGAGACACGATTTCCCACTTACAAGGTTAAGGTTTAGTTAAGGAATATTATGACCCCAAGCCG